CTTCAAAAACCTCAAATATCACACATTATCTATGGGCATGCACAGAAACATACATGTACTACATTCAATTTGTGGGGATGAGTCTAAGTTCAGTGAGATTCTTCCAATAATCACATTTGTAAGTTCATGGCATTATAATGTGGTTTAAGTGAACAAAAGTGTAATGTATTGTGATCCTGAGTTATGTCCACATCTTTGATCAATTTATAATTCTTAGACTGAATTAATGTCAATGAATACATTTTATTTGCTCACACTTTTTAGAACACAGTATAAAGTTTCTGAAGTATAATAAAAAGTAAGTAATTTTCCATTTGCTAGTATCAAGCATAATTTCGTTAGAAAGGCATGTTTTCAAATAACTCATGACAATGCAATGGAATAACCACTGTTTCATGTAAAATTTAACAGGATAAAACTCCACATTTAGGAAAAATACTATTTGACTTTATTTAGCAGAGGTGATGCCACTAAACGCTCCCTAATGTAGATACATTCATATTAAATGTATAAATGATTCAGTGGATCAGATTAAGAGTTTAAATAATTTATTTGCTTTCAAAGAAGAGGGAGCTATATGAGCAAAACATACCTGTATGAAAGAATTTTCTGTATTTGGTGATGTGGTAAAATAGGGAAGAATTCAATGCAGTTATGTTGATATGAACAAAGAAGCTGGATACTCTCTAAAGTTACTTTTATTTTGCTGCTTGTGGTGGGGCTATGGCTAATTCAGGTGCTCCACTGCTACTATGAGAAATTATGGTTTTGGCTAAAGCAGGCTTCAGTCATAAACTTGCCATAGATGACTTTACCCTTCAGCTCTTCTGGCTGGTTCTATCCTGCAGTCCCTTTGAATGACTCTGTCTCTCTGTGGCTCTCCTTGGTCAGTCAGGATGGCTAGGGGGTCCTTCCCTACCCATGATCATGTTGCGTAAGCAATCTCCTTCCTATCCATATGGGTCAATCCATATCTGATTTCTCTTAATGCTGAAAGTTTGCAAAGTAAGTTCTGGCAAAGATTTTTCCAGATGATGTATTCTTGTTTATTATTGATCCCTGTTTTGAGTAATTTGTAATGAGCTGATAACATCAAAAGTCACTGGTGATACTGTGGTCAGTGACTGGAGTTGGTCACACTGCAGATGGTTGGCAGCCAAGAGAGTTACAGAGAGCCAAAAAATTTCCAGGAGTTTTAGACTCCCATGAATGGAAGATTCTTCAAGGCCTTCCAGTAGCTGCCTGCACTAAGTGGGTGCTGTTCCCTGAAACAACTGATGGTCATTTGCATTGAGCAAGAATGCTCAATTGATAGATGACATTCTAGAAGCTGGCACAGGGACCTTTCCCTACAAGGACCTGAAGAAGAGGGCAAAGAAGGATGATGTTATTAGGAGGTATAAGAATCAGCTCATGCTTGATTTTCATTTTACAGGCAACTGAGAATCCAAGCTAGCCAGTGGCCAAATCAGAAAGGTTCTAGTGGCAAGGAAGTGAGTAGGTCACAGCAAAAATAGATACTGGCCAGATTGGAAAGGTCCATGACTGCTGTGTTAAAGAACTATAGAATTTGACTTCATGTTGAAGGCAATGAAGAACTTTGAGGAGTGGCAGGATGTGTATTTTCTAAAGGTTCCACAAACACTACTGCACAGAAAGTCTAGAAGTCCTTGAACTATAGGTCACAGAAATTATGTGAATATTGTTATAGTTGGAGCATTATGTAAAGTAGTGATGATGAAAACGGATGACATGGGTGGTCATGCAAAGGACATTGTGGAAGTCAAATCTATGAAAGTGTAGGGATTGGATGGCTTTGACTGTGATGGTAGGAGGAATTATCAAAGATCTTTAAAGGTTCCTACTTACATACTTGTCACATATGGTTCTACCCCTTTGGTATGAATAGAGTACAGGAGTATGATGGAATATCACTTCTGAGAGTATGTTAAATTACTGAATACGACACAAGAGTTCAGCAGTTACTTCGGAGGTTTCTGCTTAATTGATTTGAATTAAACTAAAGGAAGATTACCTTTAATGAGTCTTACCTAATAACACGAACCCTTGAAAGGACAAGTAATAAGAGATTCCCTTGATGGATGTGAAGAAGTATGAGGTTGGGTTGTGAGAGGACCATAAGGATGAGAGTGCTAGAAGCAACAAGGAGCAAAGAGAAACCCCCAGGTGACAAATAGCAAGAACATTTACCATAAATGACAACATTCTACCAAACACCTGACCTAAATCAGCTTGGAAGAGGATGCTGAAATCCAGATGAGGACAGAGTCCTGGCAGAAAGCTCAACCTTAACCCAGTGAGGTCCTGAGCAAAAGATCTAGTTTTGATGTGCTGAGATATGTTATTTAAGAGCTATGAGAAAAGCAATGTGCCTTCTTTCAGGGTACTAAAAGTTAGTAATTGTGCAGTCATGGGTGACTCATACAACAGAGTACGTTTCAGTTAAAAATATGTCAAAATTCTACTATATGTAATATATTATATGTCATTCAAGAAGGAGATAAAGACAGATGGCTCATGTTATGAGTTACGTGTAAAGGAAAGGAAATACATGTGCAGGGGAGCAGGGTTAAGAATACATAAGATTGTGTGGTAATCATGATTCCCCATTACATTGCTTTGAACCCTTATAATGTTTTCATTCATTAGTTGGAATGGTTTTTTTTGTTTGTTTTATTACGTGTGATGGTATGAACAGATATTTTGAAGAAAACAAGACATTATGGCAGCCATTGCTGATTTAATATCATCTTGCTTTGAAGTCCTACTACGCTTTTGTTCTTCTGTTTCCATTGGTTCTATCATGTTGTGTCTTATTGGATTTTAATGTTTGATAGTATAAACAAAATGGAAAATGAGATAATGTAGTAGCAATTATTCATTTTCTGTTATCTAGTTCTGAATGCCCCGTAATATTTTCATTCTCTTGAATGGTTTTATACTATTTTTTTATGTTTGTTACTATTGTATGTGGAGGTATACTCAATTATTTCAAAGAAATAGACATTATAGTAGCTATTTTTAGTACAGGTTGTCTTGTGGTGAAGTACTATGTTACTTACATTGTTCTATTCTGATCTGCTTTGTTCTGTCCTCTTTTGTCTTAATGTCTTTAAAATAAAATAAAAAAAATTTTAAAAATAAGCAATTGTTTCTTAAAGTTATGGTTAAGATAAAGAAAAAAGCAGATTTATATAGATAATTATAAAGATAAAAATTCTTTATCTTTGAGTACTGCAACATTATTCCATATTTAACTTCTGTTACCTCTCAATATTATCTAATAGAATTGCTACCTTTTATTACTCTGTAACTGACACTTTGGCATTTCTAAACTGTCTAAAATGTCATTGCATTTCAATACATTAATAATTTTTTCCATGATGATATGCATCTGTCATCCTCCACACAAGCATTCTTTTAAGGAACCTTTTGATGTCTGCTCTGCAGCTTTCTAATATATACAACCACTATATTTAAACATAATTCCATTATACTATATTTTACTTTTGTGTACACATTTGTTTTATGAAATAGCCTATATTTCCCCTTACAGCCATCCAGAGAAGGTATAACATTTGATTTCATCCAGTACTCCTATAGTCCAGAATATGGTTTATACTCAGTGATTGTTTAATGCTGAACTAAACTGGCAATCAAAATTCTTTGAGAAGCTGTGCAGTAAAACTGTATGGGCCAGCAAGGCTCTTCTTTTTGAATCAGTTAAGAAGAACAGATGAGGAAAAAATGTAGCACAAAAGAGACCAAATGAATACAAGAAACTAACGAATGGACACTGCGTAGTAAGACAGAAAATATTTTCATGTTTTTCTCTCACCTGTCTGAGAAAAGGACATGTATATGAGTAGAGTGAGTGAACAGACAGGTAAAGAAACAGAGATATCTACGTAATGTTTCAATTTTAGTTTTTTTCTATAAGTGATAATTGCTAATAGTGAGAATGCTGAGGTTTTCACATATATTACCTAATTTAGTACTTAAGGCAATTTTATGTGGTTTGCCTATCTTTGTTACTTGAGGTTGTTACTTGAGGTAAGGAAATGAACGCACACATATTTAAGTAATTTGTGGAATGGTAATCCAGATTATAGACATTTGTCATTTAATAACCAGATTCAGCTCCTGTGATTAAGTTATTAAGTAAATTAGTCAATGAATGAGGAGCTTATACAGTATGTACTTTGCAACATTCAGAATAAGGAAATGGCCAAAGGAAACTCAAATTCAAAGACTTTGCTTTTATCTGCACAACTTTAATATGCAGTACTAAAATGTATAACAGATCACGAAATTACAGCACTGTACTGTACAATAAAATCAGGAAAAATTACAGTACTATATATACAATGTATAATGCACAAAAAAGACAAGTAGGGCCCCAAAGTCAAGAGCTAAAGAACTGTGCAAAAAACAAAAAAAGGAAAGGAAAAAGACAGATTGTAAAGACGAGTTGCAGATTCTAAGTCTGAGTAGCTTGCATCTATCCTAATTCTGAAAATCATTAAATAGGTTGTTAAATAAGATATATCTGTAGTCCAGCTGACACAAAATTTACCATTAAACATGTAAGAAAAGTGAGATTGTGGTTAAAAATTCGTAACACAAACTTTCTATGTTTTTGATTGTGTTAATTGTCAAACTTGAAATACGGCATGCATATTACTTATGAAAAATATTCCAGACTCATTAATTGGACTTGTAAAAGAAATCAAATGGAATGTTGCTTCCACTGTTTGTGTGAAAATTCTGTGTCCTCATGTAATGTTTCATTTGCAGATTTTGCTGTTTTTCTTTTGTACAGTAGTGTTTTCTTGTTGTTCAAATAAATTTACAGAAATATATAATATATAATATTCATATTAAAATTCAGAAGTATTTACATGCTGAAGTAACTAACTTCATTTTTAACTTCAATTTGAATGATTAATAAACAAATGTATTTTATTTTTGCAGGAAATTCAGCTTGAGATTTTGCAGTCTGAGATCAACATGGAAACTTTCCCGAACATCACGTCCTCTCCCATCATCTTCCTGCTAACTGGCGTTCCTGGGCTGGAAGCCTTCCACACCTGGATCTCCATCCCTTTCTGCGTCCTCTATGCAACCGCCCTGTCAGGGAACAGCCTGATTCTCTTCGTCATTATCACTCAGCCCAGCCTCCACGAACCCATGTATTATTTCCTCTCCATGCTGTCTACCACTGACCTCGGGCTGTCCATATCCACACTGGTCACCATGCTGGGGATATTCTGGTTCAATGCCAGGGAGATCAGCTTCAATGCCTGCTTGTCACAGATGTTCTTTTTTCAACTTTTCACTGTCATGGAATCCTCCGTGCTGTTGGCTATGGCCTTTGACCGTTTTGTGGCCATTTCTAATCCTCTTAGGTATTCTTCTGTCTTAACTGATGTTAAAATAGCACTGATCGGAATAGCAATCATCAGTCGGGGGACATTGGTACAGATTCCTTTGGCGGTGCTTCTTAAAAGACTGTCCTTCTGCCGCAGCCGTGTGCTGCACCATTCTTACTGCTTCCACCCGGATGTGATGAAGCTCTCTTGCACAGACACCAGGATCAACAGTGCAGCTGGGCTGGCTGTTCTCATCACCACTGCTGGGGTGGACTCAGTGTGTATCGTCCTTTCATATGTTTTGATCATTGGGACTGTCCTCAGCATTGCCTCCCCAGAGGAGAGGAGAAAAGCTTTCAGCACTTGTATCTCCCATATTGGGGCTGTGGCTGTGTTCTACATTCCACTGATCAGCCTGTCCTTTGTTCACAGATTTGGGAGACGAGCCCCACCTTATGTACATACTCTGATTGCCAATGCCTACCTTCTGATGCCTCCTGTAATGAACCCCATCATCTACAGTGTGAAGACCAAGCAGATACGCAAGGCTGTGCTGAAAGTTCTCCATTCCAGAATGACAAAGATCTAGAGCTTGCTTTCTTCTCAAATTTTCTAGTCTTGTTCCTTGTGTGCTTGAATGGCATACAACAATGCCATTTAGCAAAGTTACAGTGTTTAGAGTGATACTTATTTTGAAATTTTTCCAAATATAGCTAGTTATATTTATGTTATGATAGTTATGACATTGAATTAACAGATTATATAAGTGGGAGACACTCAAAAATATCAGTACATCCTTAAAATAGTTAAAATGATAATGCAATTAAATCTTCTCTATGAACAACAATCTTATCTTTAAAATTAAAGTTTTAAATGACCTAGATAACAATTACCCAGTTTAGATTTCAAATGTGAAATTGCTTTGTGCTTTTAAAAAATGAAAAAAGTCTATTTACTGATTTTTATTTGTTCTTTACTGAGAGAAACATAATCACTCCTTTCACAAATGAGAAGAAAAAGTGTATTAAGGTTTCAAACTACCAAAACTCATCATCTAAATTTACCACAGATGACACACAATGTCAATGTTACTTACATTTTGCAAATATTTTAACTTTTCTTCTTAATCTCTGGCATTCCTGGGCATCTTTATTTACAGATAGTATCATTATCAATAAATGTATCATTGTCTTTCCAGCAAATTTAACTTATTTGCTTAAGAATTTGCCCTTTCTCCTAGATGTTTAGGAGAGATTTTGAAAAATAACACTTTTAATTCAACTTCAATCTGTACTTTCTTTGGTAGTACAAATATTATGGTTAGACTCTAATTCTGTTATTGTTTTGAGAAAATAATCATCTTCTGCTGAAAGGGAAATTAAAATTTTAAATAAAAGCCTGCCAAGAAATCCTGCCAAGGATGTCTTCCAAAAATGGGTGGCCTCATAATGGAACATTTCCTTTTGTGACCCATGATTGCTTAACTGATGGCCTTGCAACATAACTTGAGATGTTTAAGCTCCCTTGACAACCCACAATGTCACCCAACCCTCCAAATATAACATGAAATCTACCTTTGTGTCTCCTCCTTGCTCTCCCTATAAAAGACCCAAAACCCTGCTTGGCAAGGCTAACTGTTTGGGAGAGATCCCAGTTAAACCCACCAGCATGATAAACTGCCTCTTAAATCTCCTCAGTGCTATTTCTTCCTGTGTTCTGTCTGTTTTCCATAGCACAATTGAATTAATAGAAAATAAATATAGAGATATTTTATAATAGTGCTCTACTTGGAAATTCTCCCCAAGGAAATATGAATGCCAAAAACCACCAGACTTTAGATTATAAGATAGAACCAAACCAGTGATGAATACAGGACTAAAGAAACTCATCTGTGTTGCTTCCTTTCCTACTTTTTCTGAATTCATATATTAATCTACATAAACAGCACTTAGTGGTTTTATGAGTTTCCCTTCCTTTATTTAAGAATGTATTTAGTCAAGAAATTTTAAATAACTACAAAATGCTATAGACACACCCAGTTAGAATTAAACCTTGTGCTAAAAGGTCTATATAAGTCTAAGAAAGAAAGCATTTGCATGTAACTCAACTTGGTAAACTTTATACCAACCTCACAATGAATAGGCGGCATCTAAGATTTGTGTGCAATAACTGTCTAAGGCTGTGCACCAGCAGAGCATTTCTTGCATGTTTAAGGGGAGAAAAGAAGAAAAGCTCTTATCAGTGGATTCGTATCACGCATCTGAGTTACAGTTTAATACGAAGTCCTTTGTGATTCTGAGGAGTGAATTCCATCTGAAAGTGCCCATCTTCTGAGTTTGAGTCCTGACTCTAAATGATCCATTCTCAAACCTGATGATGTACTGGAATACACATGACAGTATCTTCTTATTTTAAGTATAAGACTTTGATCTGGGAGGAACCACTATGAAGATTCTATGTTTTAATCATCATAAAGTTTTCTCTGTGTTCTCAAGGCACAAAAAAAGGAAGAAACTTCCTGTAGTTATCACTGCGGCATTATTTCTGTTTCCTCTGGGTCTCTTCAGGCCTTCAGTGCCTGTTTATGTAAAGCTCTCATACCAAGTTTGAAACATCAAAACGGATTTAGCAGTCATTATTGATACCAGCTCTAGCACCTTTAATCCTGTTCTAAATAGCCTGTCTTTCTGCTGCAGTTATGTGCTCCACCATTCCTGTTGATTTCTCCCCGATGTGATGAGCTTTCAGCATAGTTTGCCAATAACACTTAATTGTAAACCTCTTTTCGTTTGTTTCTTTATTTTGAGACAGGGTCTTGCTATGTAGTTCAGAGTGGCCTTGAACTCATTTTGTAGCCCAGGCTGGCCTTGAACTCACCATAATCCTCCTGCCTCAGCCTCCTACTCACAGAGAGAGGCTTGCGTGTGGCTCAGGAATGTAGCAGATTTGAACTGTGCTAGTGTGGGAAATACTGATGCCAAAAGCCTTTTTGTGTTCCTCTATGGGTAAATGCCCAGCACAGAGTGGATGATCATGTTGAATACCAAAACAGAGTTCAAGCCAGTGTTAGAGACAATAATGACCAGATCAAAGGTACTGCTGATGTTGGTGTCTGTTTATGTTGCTCAGTTTATCTGTTCCTGGAAGAAGATGCCTGCTGCCCACAATTTAAAGGAGTAGAGGTTATTTTACCTCACTGTTTCAGAGTTTCTAGTCCATGGTATTCTGTCTAAGGCAGAAAAAATAATGTCAGAGGGAAAAACAGAGCAAAGACACACACTTCTTGGTGTCTGAGAAGCAGAGCAAAGAGGGTAAGCGTGCCAGCAAGAGAGGTACCCTCCAAAGACACACTTCGATTAACTCATCTTCTCCAGTTTTGCCTCACATCCTAAAGCACAGTCAACTATGCACAACAGTGTATTAATCCATTGATTAGTATAAAATTCCATGGTCCATAATTTTTCTTAATTCAATAAAGCTAACAAATAAGATTAACTGGCAAAGGCCATCCTTTGTCAATCTGACATCTAATCGTATCTCTTAAAACCAAATTCAATCTCAAAATGAACACAATTACAAGGCCATAAATCTTCCCAATCTGGTGTAACAATTATGCATACAACTGAAAAAATTATAATAATCAGTTCCCCAAAGTATCACAGGTCCAGTGTTTCTCCAAAGTCAAAGTAAAAAATCTTTGAAACTCAAGACAAACTCTTAGTTGTTAATCTCTGTAAATTAAAAATGAGAGTGGCATTATCACAAAATATAATGGCATATAGTGTCTTTGGCAAAGTCTCTTGTTGCTGAGACAAAATACCTGACACCCAAAATTAAGAAATGAAAGATTTATTTAGCTCACAGTTTGTGGAGGTTTTAATTCATAATCAGCAGACTCCAAGGCAGGGTGGTATAGTGCAAAGGCAATAGTTTACAGTGGTAGAAGACAGAAAAGGCAGCAAGAGCAAAAAGTGGGGAGGACAAGCCTCTTTTTCCTCTCTTATGTTATAAACAGGCTATACCCCTCAGATGGGTACACTCACACCATCTCCATGCCATCCTCTTGCACAGGCTGAGGATATTTACAAAGTAAGGACCTTGGCCCTCTGATGAACCAGTTAAGCTTCTAACCTTCTCAGATTGAAATGGTGAATAAAGTCTTAGAGCAGTAATGGCTTGTCCTCTATACCCCAGGACGTACATTGCTGAGTTGCTTAATTAACCTTCTAGACTTCTCAAGTTGATACAAAGTATCTTCCATAATAATCTGCTCCTTGTCAACTTGGCAACCAGGCTATTTCTTTAAATCAGTTCTCGGATGCAAAGATGTTTATTATTATCATTTTACAACTTGAACATTATAACACAGGTTTAGCAATCCTTAAGAAACAGTAATAAGTAAGTCTATTAACATTGTATTACATTAGAACGATGACACATGGTAAATGTGCCAATACAGGATTAAAACTCATCAAGGCAAGCATTAAATCTTATAGATCCATGCCTGGCACATGGAATATGTGGTTGTGAGCTGTGAATTTATTTTTTAAAATTTTATTTAAAGAAAGACTAAACAAAACACAAAATGGGTAGAAACAATACGTATTTTCAAAGAAAAAATAAACAGTAAGAAATCACTAGTTGATGATTACATTTTGTTGTCTTACAAATCCTTGTTCAAGATACAAAAGTGAAACATCCAAAGTGGAGATTCAAACAGCAAGACTGCAAACAGTTCTGTTCAATTATCCAACAAGAACTTAGTAATATGGTTATCAATCCTATACACTTAAACATACATGCATTTATCCATATCTTCACTTATGTTGTGATTAAACAAGCAAAGCAGGCTAAAATCACTCTGAACAAAGAATAATAGTATTGCTGGATTTCACATCACGACACTACTGGATCAACACTAGTGTCTTTTTCTTCAAAGTATTTGTTCATTTCATCATGGGTTATAAGATTAGTTCTCATAAACTGTTTATAGGTTCTACACATACATGAGTTTTAACATGTATTTCTATCCTTTGTATGTTAAAGGGAGAAACAAAACAAAGCAAGACAAAACAAAAGCTATTATACATGTCAGGCATATTATATTGGTAGATCAAGTTGTGAGGGGTAACGTGCTATTATAATTAGAAGAAGTTTAGGGAGCCTAGGAGATTTTGCAGGTGCATTAGGGCAATCAGTAGAGGAAAAAACCCTATTAATATGTAGAATAAAAAGCATAAGCCCACTTTTATATGTTCTGTTTGGTTTCCTCATTGGGAAATAATAATTAGAGTAGGAATTAAAGCTGTTTCAAATAAGATATAGAATATCATTATTTCTGTAGCAGAGAAAGTTATTATTAGGGAGGTTTGAAGGAGAATTATAAGAGCAATATATGTTTTTTTGTGTCTCTGTTTCGTTATTTAAGTGGTGTTGGCTGGCGATGATTATTAGAGGAAGGAGTCACGTTGTTAAAATGAGTAGTGGGGAAGAGAGTGAGTCAGATGAGAAACTTAGCGAGTAGTTCTGTCCAGTGGTGTCAAGCTTGTTAATAATTGCTAAGCTAATTAGCACAATTAGCAGGCTGTGTGATGTTGTATTAATTCATACTATTGATTTGATAGATAATTAGATGGTAGGAATGAGTATGATTGTTGGTACAACAATTTTTAGCACTGTAGTAAGTTTAAGTTTTGTACGTAATCAATTCCATAGATATTTGAAATTATAATAAAAGTGCAAGGCCTACAGCTGCCTCACAGGCAGCAAATACTAATATGATAATGGGGATTGCAGAAGATAGTAGGTAGTGGGAGTTAAGTATGATTAAGGAGCCAAAAATGAATGTTGATAGTATTATACCTTTTAAGCATAACAATGTTGATATTATATGAGATCAGTAGATTATTGTATCTAGAAATGATACAGTATAGACTATAATTAGGTTGAAGTGGATTGATGACATTTTGGTAATTATGTATTAAGTGTAGTCTAGGGAGTCGAAATCACTTCTTTTGTAACTAAACTTATCACCATATTTGGCTCATTCTAAGCCTTTTTGAGTTCATTCATAAGCTGGGCCCAGTGTTAAGACTAGAATTAATATTTGTGCAAATAACAGCATTAGGTTAAGTTCATTAATCTGGGACGTTCATGGAAGTGGGAGTAAGAGAGCAATTTCCAGGTCAAACAGTAGGAAAGTAATAGCAATAAGGAAAAATTTCATTGAAAGTGGTAGGCATGCAGATTCTGTCGGATCAAATCCACACTTGTAAGGGCGGGCTTTTTTCTGTGTAGATATTTATTTGAGGAAGTCAGAATGTAATTGTGACTAGTAGAAGGGGTAGTTGACTATAATAGAGAGATTATGATGTTTATTGCTTTCTCTCAGGTGTTTTCTGAGGCCTGCTGATTGGAAGTCAGCAATACTGGATTATATTAAGAAAGCATGAGCCTCATCAGTAGATGGAGACATAGAGAAATAGTCAGACTTCATCTACGAAGTGTCAGTATCAGGCAGCTGCTTCAAAGTGAAAATGGTGTTTTGATGTAAAGTGATAGTGTAATTGATGGAAGAGGCATACTACTAGAAATGTAGACCCAATAAACACATGAAATGAAAAAGACATATAAAACCAGTGTACAAGGAGTTCTACTATGGTTACTGTGTTGTCTCTGGTTATCTTCAATAAAATTGTCTATATCATCAGACATCATGTAATTGAATATAGCAGTACATAACCATATTAAGAAAAACATATCTTTGTAGATAGTGTAAAACTTCAAAAACAGGTAATAATAAAACCAGAATGGGTATCATAGTGAATCTTGTCATCTTCAGTGTAGTTGCCCATACTCTCAGACTTGATACTATCAATCATAACAGTTTTGAATAAAATCTGTCGATAACAAATAGCAATCAAGCCAGATTTACTAAGATCAGTCATGATAAACAGTATAAGTTATACAGGACTCCAGATTAAGTTAATAGGGAATTAAAGATGATTACTGTATTATATCCTGTTATATTTGGGATAGCTGTCTGTGCCCTCAGACCTAGTGCAAGTAGACAAACTGGGACAGAATAAAATCCATATAAGCAGAGCAGTGCAAGTAATATGGGTTTTAAATCCTGATACACTATTAACAATACCTTCTGCCATCTTTTTTAAAGACTATTCTTCCTATTTCACTCCTCCAGGATGCACTGTGCATTTTTGGGTCTCACCACCACCCTCAGTTTTTAGATTTGGTGGGTAGCCTGCTATTTACCTAAGTGGTTCTGAACCTTCTCCATCCTGGACTTGATCTCTGGTTGTATTCCTTTACCTATTAAAGCCTGTCTTTCCAACCTATCCACAAATACTGGTTTAGTTGCCACTATTACTGTCTGGTTCCTTATCACATAGAGCATTATTTTATCATATTTGATTCTCGGTCCATAAAGTCTTTTTCAGGTTAATTGTGTTTCCTATAAAGAGCATCTCGGTGGACCCTATCTCCTGATCTACTCTGCCTGTGATTCTCTCTTTCTTTCCCTTTTTTTTAGTGCATCAAGGCCATCTATATTAGAGATTAGAGCCAACCTTCTCTGCCTCACTTCTGTTGTGCTCTTTTTCTGCCATTAGCTGTCTGCTTTTCTTTTTCATTCCACTTTCTGCTCCATTCATGAGGCCTGTCTGCCACTGTTCCTGGAGTCCTGGTACTTTTCTCTCTCTAGAATGTCCTTCAGTATTCTCTGTAGAGTTAGATTGGTGGTTGTGAATTCCCCCAGTTCCTCTT